CACCCCCCTCCCCTTACCCGTTCGAACAATCGGGTCGGGCAGCGAATAAATCAGTCGCTTCGTTTTGAGTGAATGAATTCACGCGCCGTTTCTCCTCGGGTCATCGAGGATTATCCCTTACCTCGGCGATAAGCGGCGCTCGTCCGAGGGGCACGGAAGAGGGACGGCAATTGGATAAGATTACGCGAGATCGCAAACAAGAGGGCCGAAGTATATACACACGAATATATGACGAATCGAGTTGTCCCGTTCGTAGACCAATTTTTTTTTCCTCCTCCTTCTCCTCCTCCATCTCTTCATTACGCCAACGCGCAAAAATGATAGATTAGAGAGCGTATATTATTGGAGGAGGAAGGAGGGGATGGACGAGATGCGATACGATCGCGTAAACGAGAAAGAGACGTGGATCGGGGTGGAGGGGGGAGGAGAGGAGCGAACGACGAGCGCTACCACCATCTTTGCGTTTAACGCGGTTAACTGCGGTATTTTCCTATTAATAAATAGATTTGTTTGGGTTCGAGCCGCGATAAAGGGTTAATAAACGAGGCTAAATAAACGTCACGCGATTCCGCGATGCAACGCCAAGGTTACAACAAAGCTTGGAACAATCGAAGGGACAAGTGGTGGGGCACGTTTCTCTTTCTTTTTCTGGGATGCGCGCCATCTCTCGAGTCCGTTACACATTTCACCTTTGAAAAATTTCTCGTATGTTACGAATGGAGTGGACGAGAGAATTCACGATTAGATCCCCTAGCTTCTTCTCTCTCTTTCCCTCTCTCTTTCTTTCTCTCTCTCTTTCCTCGAGTCGACTAATTTCAGTGGCGATTGTTTTTTTCTTTTTTCAGCGATAAAAAGAGGGAATGACGGGAAGGTCGAGCGCGAAACAGAGGACGGCCCTGTGTCTGTTGACACTGTTGTTGTTGTTGTTCTTGCGCCTCTCAGCATCGTCCGTCGTCGGGGAACCAATCCCGTCCGAGTTCTACGGCAAAACCTCGGACAACGATTTCGTAAGCATCTCATTCTATTATTTTTGTCTTTATTTTTCTCACTCCATTATTTTCTCACTCATTCGCCTCATTCGAATCCTTTGTATGTGTATATAATCGGTAGATATTGCTCAACAAGCTGAAGGAGTTGTTCGAGGAGAAACAGTACGTCGCGGAACGGGAGAAAGAGTTGGACAAGGAACGTATGAAGATCCAGTCGATAATAATGGAGGGAAAGGAATCGGAGACACAATCGGATTCGGAATACTACGCTGAGAAATTACCGACACCGAATGCCGTGGTTAGACAAGAGCCGCAGCATTCCGGCAAGCGTACCATGATCAGCTGTGAGTAGCAATCCTTTCTTCGCCACTTCGTTTCATTCCATCTTGCGCTTTCAATCTCTCGAAAAAACTGAAAACGCTGAAAATGACCGATGATTTCGCGATT